CAGTGTTAAAGAAGGATGGTTCTGTAAGAATTTGTGGAGACTACAAAGCCACACTGAATAAGCAAATAGAGCTAAATAGGTACCCTATTCCTAACATTGAGGAAATTTCTTTGAATTTGGCAGGAGGAGACAAATTCACTGAATTAGACTTTAGTCATGCTTACACTCAACTAGAACTGCATCCAGATTCAAAAGTCTATACGACAATAAACACACATAAAGGACTCTACCAATATGAAAGACTATGTTTTGGCATATCATCTAGTCCTGGAATTTTCCAGGCTGTCATGGACAGTATTTTTAAGGATATTCCAAATGTTTGTGTTTACTTTGACAATGTGTACATAACTGGTAAGAATGACACTGAACATCTTAAAACACTTGATAAAGTATTGAAAATAGTTGGTGAAAAAGGTTTAAAGATAAACAAAGATAAATGTCAATTCATGCTGACAGAAATTAGTTTTCTTGGTTATATATTAAGCAAGCAAGGTATCAGACCTCAACCTGAGAAAACAAAAGCCATTAAAGAAGCACCTAAACCTGAAAATACCCAACAACTAAGAGCTTTTTTGGGCTTGATAAATTACTATGCAAAGTTCATAGGGAATCTGTCTGGTAAACTATCACCACTGTACAAGCTGCTACAGAAAAATGCAACTTGGCACTGGGGTAAACAACAAGAAGCTGCTTTTAATGCAGCAAAAGAAGCTTTGTCTTCTGACACCTTACTAACTCACTATGACCCAGGGAAAAGACTTATATTAACATGTGATGCTTCACCAGATGGTGTAGGAGCAGTCTTGTCCCAAATAGATAAAAAGGGTGACAGACCCATTGCTTTTGCCAGTAGATCTTTGAACCAGGCTGAGAAAAATTATTCTCAGTTAGATAGGGAAGGCTTAGGCATCATTTTTGGTGTTAAGAAATTTCATAAGTTTCTGTTTGGTAGGAAGTTCACCATCTTTACAGATCATAAACCATTGCTAGGTTTATTTGGAGAAAACAAAACCCTACCTGAGCATGCCTCACCAAGAATTCAAAGATGGGCTATCACACTAACTGCATACAATTATGAATTGAAATACAAACCTGGATCTGAGAATAGTGCAGATAGTCTTAGTAGATTACCTTTAAAAAAACCAAAGCCTTAGCTATGTACCAGAAGATGTATTTGTTCTCTTCACTATCATGGATAACTCCAATATAAATGTGAATGATATTAAAAGAGAAACACAAAAAGATGAGTGCTTAATACAAGTACATGAGTACTGTAAGAATGGTTGGCCTGAAGAGTCTGTGAATGATGACCCAAGGCCATATAAAATAAGAAAAACAGAGTTAAGTCTAAAAGATGGAGAAGATGCAGTCCATTATCAGTCAGTTGCCTAAACAAAGTATTTGTAACTTAATAAATGATTATGGTGATATGGCAATTTCAAATGTTTTAAAGAGAATACATTAGTAAGAAGGAATGTGATAATCAAACAACTTTGCTAACATCATTAGCACTTACAGAAACTAAAAGAAACTAAAAGGGTAACATCAAAAGTAAATACCAAACAGAAGAAGCTAAATGTGACAATGAAAGAGTAAACAGGTTATTAGCCAAATACCGCACAACTCCTCATATAACAACAGATGTTGCACCATGTGAATTGCTATGTGGTAGGAAAATTAAAACTCATCTTGACCTACTACATCCAACTGTTCAAAGGTCTGTTTCCCAACATCAACATACACAAAAAGTAAATCATGACAAATCATCCATTGAAAGAGAATTTGCAGTTAATGATAATGTGTATCTAAGAAATTATGGGAGAAGGGAAAAATGGATACCAGGTCAAATTGTTCAATGTACAGGACCTGTGTCTTATAAAGTTAAAAATAACTTGTGCAGATAATAAGTGTGAATCTGTCAATCCCACCAAATCTGATCAGTTCACACCAACTCAGTTTGTTCCACAACCAAGTTCTGTTGATATGAGTGAACCAAGTTGTCTGGAGTCAGAAAATGTAAATTCTGGAGTTAATGATTTAAATCCTAGACCTCCTGAGATAGAGAATCCAGATGGTCAGAATCTTGAGTCACCAAATCAAAAACCACTGAGAAGGTCAAGCAGGACAATCAAAGTCCCAAATAAGTTAGACCTATGATTTTAAAGGTCAAAAGGACTTTGACATCATTGTTTTGTATTTTAATTATGTGGTAACATATTGTGCATTGTTTGTAAGGATGTAATCTACCATAGTGTTCATGTTACAATATAATTGGTGATTTTAGGATACTGTAAATTGTTCTATTGAGAGATGTGTTGTGTTTACTAAGGGTAAAGGGATGTAATATAGTGAGACTTGTGAAGTCAAGGGAACTCACTCTTCTGTGTTAGTATTATATTTATAATGTTATCTTGAGTGATGTCCCTTACATGTTTATGTATATAAGTGTCTCGTGACTTCCGCCCTCTCTCTTACCATCATGTAGCGAAGGCCCAATAAACGTTTTATATACAACCACATGCTTCTATCGTCAATCTATTATACTTGTAATATTAACAAAGAATTATAAAAAGAATAAATGGTAGGGATTGTCTTTCATAAATTAGTAATGGCAGAAAAAAGTTTTAGCCTAATTAATTACTTTGAGAAAGGATTACAGCAGATTCTAAAATTGATATTTTGTATTAATTATAATGTAAAACAATAATACAACACAATACCTTTTGCCCATTAATTGTTTATTATCTACCCAAACATACTGTCATCCATAAATTTTAATATGAATAGTAAAATAGCCCAATAATCCTATCAATACAAAAACTAATGTAAGAGTATCCACATTAGGCAAAATTACTGAAGCTAACTTGCACAATCAAATTTACAATTATTGTTTTACCTGTGCACCCCTTCACTCACACACTCATAGTGTCACACATGTGTTGTTAATAATTTTAGCATTGATAAGTTGCTGAGCAGTCACACCCAAGCATCGAATGATATGTTGATTTGCAATTTTCCAATGTACAAATCAACTGCCAGTTGAAGTAGAGATCCTCCAGAGAACATGGAAATGGATTGGCCACACACTCAGGAAGCATGTATCCAGCATAACAAGACAGGCCCTCACCTGGAATCCACAAGGCAGGAGGAGGAGAGGCAGACCAAGAAAGACCTGGAGACGTGACCTGGAAGAAAACACCAAGAAGATTGGATACACCTTGGGACAGTTGGAGAGACTAGCCCAGGACAGAGACGCCTGGAAAGCTCTTGTCAGTGGCCTATGTCCCAGAAGAGTCGACAGGCAAACCTAACCTAACCTAACCTAATTTTCCAATGTGGTGTACAACCCACTTTGGTGTACAGTGTATTTTGTTTTGATTGGTACAATAAATTGTTTGTCTGTGAAATTTGCAATTGGTGTCACCCACAAATGGCGTTAATTTGTGCATACTTGTAATAATTTACTTATTAATTGTGGAAAAAATTAATTTGTGTTAATTTAGTAGATGTGGTGTCATCCCCTCCCCGATCATTGATTGACACATCAGTTAATGAAAATATGCAACAAAACTTTTTCCCTCTGTAAATTTGCTGTGGGTGGACACCCCCCCCCCCCCCCCCGGTGATAGCTTTAATCAGTGCACACTTAAAAGTAATGATGTTAATCTATAATCAGTTATTGATACAGCTGGATGTAGTATTGTTTTTTCTATAGTTAGAAATAGTTAGAAAATTTTCATCATGATGTCACCTCATGTTGGGATCATCAATTTGTTCTTAAAATGCTATTTAACTTTAATCGATCATTAATTGATCTGGCAAAACATTGTGCAATGTTGTTGCCTTGGTGTCACACCCCCTTCCCGGCAAATGGTGTCACCCGGTGCGGTCAGTTTAGGCAGGATGTCTAGCTTTTTTAACGGGTGACGAAGGGGAGGTTAAATTGGTTTTAAAAGATTGACGTCGATGACAGACCCTGAATTTTAGGAAATTAGCAAGACTGAAAAGCGTGCGTGTCAATTTTAATGCACATGTGTGTGTGCATGAGTGTATGTGTAAATGTAAAAGCATGACACTTTAATTAGGCCTACTTTATTAACTTTATATACTTTATAAGAATGGCAACCTATGATTAATTTTTTTAAAGAATTATTTTTAAACACTTACTTAAATTATTTCAAAGTTCATTTCACATGTCATTGTATTGTCATCTGATCTTTACATAAGCCTATGTGTTCAAGCAGGGGGGAAATGATTCCAAGAAGACGGACACGAGGAAGAGTTAAATAAAAACTTGTAAAAAAGAACAAACAGCGAAAATTAATAAAGGCTCGAATTTTGGTAACAAAAAGACTTTGAAAAAGAATAATGACCACACTATCTCTTCATATGCCGAGGTCACAGAAACAAGTGAACTCTACTTTACTTGCCATATAGACCGTCATGTGTGAAAGGTAACTACTTTTTTTTACGAATCTACTTCGCACCCCTATGTATAGTTAACTTTTTTTTTTACTTTTATTATAAACGGTAACAAACAAACACAAAAAACAACTAGGCCTACACGACGTACTCCTGCCTCACGCAGCGTTACGGTCATAGCGGAGTAAGTAGAAGTATGTACCTGTCACTTGTTAAAGGCCTTAAATCTTAAATCGTTTGTGGAGAATCGAAAATATGTGCAATGTCTTAAAATAAATAGGTGAAAGCATTTAGATCATTTGAATTTATAATAATTAGTACAATTCTATTTTGTTTTCTTTTAAAATTTGCCGATGACTGTTGTATTATTTCTTGGGCAAGTTTGATTTCACCCATTTAGTTGACTAAATCTGGCATATTGATAATATATGAACTCTAACCTTTCAGTTCAAGGCCTTTTGTAGTTTACTATATAAACAAACAAACGCAACAAGGCAGGAGATTGTGGTCTTCTACTACAGTACAAAATTGTGTGTAAAATAAATACGCCCTATCTAGATTTCTATGTTATTATAGCTACGTTTAATAAACGGTTTATCGGTTTTACTAGCTAGACTTAAAAAAAATAGATCTGCTCCTTAAACTCTAGTCTAGATTCTAGATTGTTTTTGTTTTGTTTTTTTGTGGTAAGCATTTTTTTTTAAGTTTAAAAAAATAAAAATAAAATTTTACTAGATCTAGATCTAGATGTCTAGATCTAGAAGATACTTACTTACTTACACTAGATCTAGATCCAAATCTAGACTAGATATCTACAGCAGTAGAATCAAGATTCTAAATTCAGTTAACTGAGTTTTAGTTCAGTCAGTGTCAGGACAGTCAGGTACCTTAGAATAAGAATTGCTGTCCTCTGAGTACTGACTGAGTGTCACTGAGTCACTCAGTCTCTCTGCTGTGAGTCAGTGGTTGAGTACTGAGTAGAGTCTACCAACTAGCTAGCTAGACTAGCCAGTAGCAAATTAGATGTAGTAATAGTAGTAGTCTGTGTTGTCACTAACTAGGTCTGGCTTCACCCGGTGCAGTAACTCATGGTGTCACCCCCATGCCAAAGGAACAAAGTATATGATATATATATATATATATATATATATATATATATATATATATATATATATATATATATATATATATATATATATATATATATATATATATATATGATAGCTTTAAATTAAATGGTTCACAGTTAATAGTAAATAGACGTTTATCTATAGCTGGATGTAGCAATATTTCCTCTTTAGTGAGAAGGTTCTCGGGCAGATGAGGCTCGTTAGCTGGGGACAGCCACTCTTCTAGGAGAGACAACTCCAAAATCAAACAACTGCTGCCTTGTAGTTTGTTCTTGGTTGGACAAAGGCTATGGAAGCAAATCTAAAAAGAAAAGCAGGCTGAAATCGGAGTCAATGGCCTCAATGGCGCATAACCAGTTGACACGTATCCTTAATTGTGATGGAGGCGTGGTCGAGTCGGCAAAAGTTCATGGTTGATAAATTCAAAAAAAGTCTCGAGTTCAAACCCTCTGGCAGATAAGGCTTGATCCCTTCCAACACTAAAAATTAAGAACGAAGAAGAAGAAGAAGTTAGAAGGTTTATGTCATAGTGTCATCCCCCCTCCTTCTTGTCAAGATCGATCATCATTTGTATCAACATTTTTTTTAACTCTAATTATTCATTGAACTGGCAAAAAGCATATTTGTTCTACTTATTTTACAATTTTTTTGTCTTGGTGTCACCCCCCTAAATGGTGTCACCCAGTGCGGTCAGCACCCCCTGCCCCCGCCTCGCGACGCCTCTGGTAGTAGTAGATCTAGATCTAGGCTCTATCTCTAAATTGGGTGGATTTCTTATACCAGTGTCTGAAAATCACTGTTAAGTAAATAATATTACTTATAGAGAATAGTAAGTAAAATACATATGTCTTGCTAGTGTCAATGCTAACCTTATCCCTAAATAAAACTAAACTAAAAGTTACCCCAACCCTAGTCCTGTTGTATGCCTAACCCTAATTTTTAACCATAAGATTAGACAAGATTAACATACTACTAACAACCTAACACACCTTACCTATTAGATTCTATGGTCTATAGATTTGAATATTATTATTACTTTTGCACAATTTTCGTGAACACTTTTTCTTCACTGGTCTTTGCCTTTTTCACTAACCTACTTTCATGCACAGGCCTTTTGAAACAAAACCTGGTGAGAAGGTTTCTTCCTTCCTTCAAGAATGTTGCGGAAATGAGTTGGACAAGTGATATTCAATAGCTTTGATGCTTGATCAGTTGCATCTTTTTCAGGGTCTTGCTTTTCTATAAACTGTCAAACCCACAGATCTGGTACTTAATCAATGTTTCTTAGTAACTTAAAGCAAAAACAAAAAGCTAGCGCGACTGCTTGTATTTTTTTTTAAAATCGTGTATGTCTGGGCACTTGTATGTTGAGGGACTACTGTTATAACTTCATCAGTCCAGTTACTTAACTACATCAGTGTTGTTATATGCTTTTATTAATTCAAATAACTTATACTATTTAGATGTTAAAAACAAAGGAGTAAATAATAATGTTAACTTGCTAACTTAAACAATAACCCAAACACTAAACCCACTAGCTTTTTAAAAGCCAAAGTATCCCATCTAGATCTACTTGCTTTTTAAAAAAGCCCTGTTTCTAATCTAGATCTGCTTATTTTTTTTAAAGCCTTTTTTTTTCACCTGCTTTAAAATAAAATGTGTAAACCCCCCCCCCCCCCATCTATGTCATATTTATTTCCTTCTTAATAGCTTATCAAAATATTGGGCTTCATGACATCCTTTAATGGTAAAGTACCAGGTAAGACAAGGTACCTGTAGGGCACTTGTAAATAAATGGGATAGTTTTAAGCTAAAGTATCAACAAAATATCTCGTCAAAATAATTATATTTTCAATATGTGAGCAAATCTGAACGTAAGTTAAATGAACTTTGCTCATATGGCTGCATATCTCATAGATTGAGATACCCAGTAGTCTTTATCTGACATCCCTTGACTATCTTAAGATTGATCAACATTCAACCTCTATAAGCCAAATCCCTCCTTGACATACTTTCATTATATGTAATGTTCTCTCTGAGTTAAATTCAAGCAAGGTACAGTTATTCTTCATATTTATTTATTTTTTGTCATTTAAGTAACCCTTCAGATTTGTCAATTCATTTTAGTATTTCACAAGATCATGTTGTGTCTTACTTTTTCTTGTGGCTGTGAGTGTATAATGTAGCAAATATAAGCAGACTCTTTTATCCTTCCAATTATAATCTTGCCCACCTTTATGTTATCTAGCCTCATTTACTTTTAAAAACAAAATTATGGTTCATTTGCCACAGAAACCACTAAACGCCTAATCCTCAAATATGACATAATGTTCACCCATTTCCCTTAAGTTTTTTATTTATTTTCTTATTAAAAAATACAAACCTTGCCCTCCCACTTCACAATTTCACTTATGAGACCCGTCCTTCTCAATTAAAAAAAATATTTATGAATAATTTATTATTTCATGGCTTGCATAGTTGTTGATGTATGTGGTCAAGGGGGTAGAATGCTTGACTGTTAAATCTGAGTTTAGATCTCAATCCCAAATTGAGTCTGCTGGACATAGTGCTAACCACACCATCCTATCATATGCTGAGGTCAAGAAACTTGAATTGTACTTGAAATACTTCATATTGATCCCTAACTCAGGAAGGGGTAACTTTCCTTGTTGTTTATATTAGCTCACACATTTTTGGTGCAAGGTGTGAACTCAGCCAGGTATTATGTACAAAAGTTTACCAACTTCAGGTAAAAATCAATGTAAAACTTGCAAGTTGAGCATTGATTTTTGTGTTCACCACACCTGCTACAGGTAATAAATGTTGACAAATGTTGACTCTTCAGATCTTACCTTTTTGTTTGTATTATCAAGTTACCTGTCTGTTGTCAAAGGATACTTAAAATTTCTTTTATCCAATGAATCAATAAGTTATAAAAAATATTTTTTTGTCTTAGTATGTATGGGTGGTGTTTGTGTGTGTGTGGGGGGGGGTGCAAGAATGTAGAATTGATTTTAGAGGAATTGGGGATATTGTTTGTGTACTTTTCTACTGTGTGATGTACCCACCAGATAACAAAGATAAGTCATCTAGTTGTGATTAAGACTAACTAGATCATTCAAAAGAGGTGGAAAATTGCTCCAACAGTGGTGAGGTAGTTTTAGCTTTAAAATAAAAATTCAGCTGACTAGAGCTTTTCTTTCAGATCTGGTTGAAAGCAAAATGGGGGATAATGAGACACCTGTTTCATCCATACCTGAGTCAAAACAAGAGAGGTATGTTTATCATAAAAATCATAAACAGAAATAAAGCAAACACATTATTTTAGATAATAACCTGAAGTAAATAATTTTTTGAATAGAGAGAACTTTAATTGATGTCACACTGAGTTCACTCAGATCTAATGGGTACCTGTCTTTATTTCTTCTTCTTCCTCATTCTTAACTGTAATGTTGGAAGGGATTTTCTCCAACAGAACTAAGTATTACATGTTAGCTTGTTATGTGTTAAATAGCTCTTGGACTCAGATTTTAGACTTATAATTGGGGAGAAATAAAGGCAGCTAACCATGGTGATAACCCCACAATACATGGTTCTTCTTCTAGGACTTTTACAGTATTAATACAATACGAGCTGACCTGTGACATAGTATACACCATCATCTGGTTGTTTTATTTTCTGCTTATCAGCAATTTATAATTTGTGAATTCAACACTTCAACCCCCCCCCCCCCTGCTCAGTGAAAGCAGCCATTTACTTACAAAGGAAAGATCAATCAGAAATTGTTACCTCCCCTTATATTCAAATAGTTTAATACTAAATTATCTGCCCCTAATAGCTGTCACTAACCTGGCTCTACGATTATAAACATTCGGGGTGAACCACAGCTCACCTGACAGGTGGGGATGAGGGTGGTAGCTAAGCTGCGTGGTGTATTCTATGGTCTCCAAGAAGAGAATTATATATATATATATATATATAGATAGATTCTACTTTTCAGTAATTCAAATTTTTTTGATTCAACACCAATGCTGCGACTGAAAATATTTTGTTTTAAAACACTATCAGTAGCTTATTAAGGACGATTATCCCCCCCCCCCTCCCGCCTCTCGTGACAGCAGCCGTCCGTGACGACAGTTTACAGACGACAATGAATAGATCAAGCATAACTTATAATCACCTCACCTTAGTTTCAAATTGTTTAAAACTGATTTATCTACCCCTAATAGCCGTCACTTCTATTGTAAACATTCGAGGTGAACCACAGCTCACCTGACAGGTGGGGATGGGGGTGGTAGCAATATGTCTAGAAAGCGGGGTAGGAACTACTAAGCTGCGTGGTGTCTTGTATGGTCCCCATGATGAGAATTATATATATAGATTGGTATGGAAGGGGTTTTCTTTACTGAAATTGTAAGCATTTGGGCCAGGATCAGATACCAATGAAAAATTATTTTGAGAATAGCTCTGCTGAGAACCAGTCATTTCATAAACCAAGTCTATTACAATATATAAATTCTATTAATGTCCCCCAAAACCATCAGTTCAAAATGGACATTGTGTTTTGCTTTTTAAAAAAAAATGTTGTCTTTATCCTTCAGGTTTAGCAGTATTCAAAGTAAATTCAAAGAAAGCTATGGTGAGGATCCTACATTCTTTGCCAGAGCACCAGGAAGAGTTAATCTCATAGGTGGGTAGTTGGCACCAATAACTAAAAGTGCAGAGCTCAACTTTTTCTGAAGGGAGAAGTGATTGCTACTCCATGACTTAAGTCTTAATCATTTAATCTGCAACATTCTATTTTGTTTTAATTAAATTGCTGAATAATTACAGTATTACTTTCTTTTTTTTTTCCTTTTGCAACAAGGAAATACCTCTTTATTATTACTTATTATATATTGTAACAAGTTTTTTTTCCGTTCTTGATAGGTGAACACATTGATTACTGTGGCTATTCTGTGCTGCCAATGGCTGTTGAACAAGATATTGTCATGGCTGTGTCCCCAGATCCTAGTGGGAAAATATCTTTAATCAGTTCAGATTCACAGTTTCAGTAAGTAGCATGGTGTTTCCAAACTTGTAATCACTGCACTTCCCTTAAAAACCAAACCATTTTGTTGCAGAATAAACACATTAAGTAATACTGACATTATGTAAATAAAGTATTTTTCAAAGCAAGATCTTCAAGTATATTTAACAACATTACCTGTATTATTTTCATCCCTTATATTTATTGCTGAAATAATTTTAAAGATTTGCTTCAGTTTCAGAAGTTTTAATAAAATAATTGAATTTTTTTAAAAATAAACATGAGTATTCAATGTTATATTTATTTCTGAAAATTAAATAAGTAAATATGTTATGTATTTTTTTTTCTTTTTATGAAGCATTTTCTTTTACATCTAAATATTTTTCTTTGCCACAGAGCATTTGAAGGGGATGTTTCCAATATAAATATCACTAAAGACGTGCCTCACTGGTATAAATATGTTCTGTGTGGTGTGCTGGGGATAAAAGAACATTTTCACACCAATGACCAGACTGTGAAGGGTTTTAAGGCCATTGTAGACGGGACAGTACCCAAAAGTGCTGGGTTGTCCAGCTCTAGTGCACTTGTCTGCTGCTCTGCCCTTGCCATGCTCAGGGCCAACAAATGGCACCTTGCTAAAGTGAGTTATCCCTCTGATAGTTTAATTGTAATTTTTAAAGCTGCAGAGTTTCAAATTAAAATATTACTTTTTGTATAGTGTTAGTTCTTTCTTTGTTATTTCTCCCCAAAAAAGGGTTTGAATAATTTATGTATTTACTAGGATCAGCTTGCAGAACTGTGTGCTAAGTGTGAAAGATATATAGGTACTGAGGGTGGAGGTATGGATCAAGCCATTAGCTTTACTGCAAGGGCAGGCTGGGTAAATTATTTTCATTTCATTTAAGAATTCATTTAACAAGTACTTTATAAATGTACATGTACAGGTATATTTATTTATTACAAAACAGCTAAAACTATTGCTATGTGTAAGACAATATTTTTTTATAAATTTAGGCAAAGTTGATAGAGTTCAATCCCTTAAGAACAACCGATGTAAGACTTCCAGAGAATGCATCATTTGTAGTGAGCAACAGTTTATCTGAGATGAACAAGGCAGCAACTCCACAGTTTAACACAAGGGTTGTTGAGTGCCGTTTGGCTGCTCAGGTGAGTGTTGTGGAATGTTGTTTGGCTGCTAAGGTGAGTTTTGTGTTGTTTTGCTGTTGAGGCAAACACAGAGACTTTTTCCTTTATCTATTACGTTAATTTTTTAATATTCAAGTTTTACTTTTAAACCTCATTTTTAAAGTTTACCTGATTATAATTTCCACCAAAAACAAGCAGAAGCAATTAATTTTCTTTTATTGAAATTTTAGATTTGTGTACCATCTAAACTATTATCCAGTTTTTCATTTATTGCTTTTAAAATTTTATTTAATTTGAAATAATAATTTCTGTTATAATTCATAAAAATGTGTGACTGCATATTCTAAAGGTACTAGCAGCCTCTCAAGATGGAATCAAATGGAGAGAGATTAAAAGACTTGGTGAACTTCAAGAGAAGCTGGGGGTGGGGCTGGATGACATGCTCAAGCTTGTTGCAGCTCAGCTACACACTGAGCCATACTCCAAGCAGGAAATTTGTCAGATCTTAGGAGTTGGTCCTGAAGAGCTGGCTGAGACTAGTCTTAGTGCCAACACTCTCCATGGTTTGTTCTCTTTCATTATATACATATTTACGTATAAATATGTACGTATTTAAATTTTTTTAATACACAACTTAACACAATTTTTCACATCCATTTTAGTTACAACTTATTTATATGTAATACTATAGTAATGTTTGATTCTTTAGTATGCAAATATAAGTAAAGCAAGGAAAGCTCCCTTTCAAACCTGATGGTCCATGTGGCAAGTGAAGTAGAGTTTACCTATTTCTGTGTCCTCCATATATGAAGGGATAGTGTGGTCAGCATTATGCCCAGATGTATTTACTTTCCCTAAAATGAGTCAGGTACCCATCAGAGCTGGGTGGACTCAGGGACATTATATGGAGTTGAACCCACATTCTAACCCGAGACTTTTGGGTTAGCAATCATATGCTCTACCATTCAACTATGCCAACCTATAAACAAATATTAAAGCTACTTATTTTTTAAATTTGTATTACTTAAGGTTTCAAAGAATTTTTCTACATTTTTAAATAAGCTCATTATACAGCAACATTAAACTGTTTTTTTTCTCCTTGCGACAGTGGAGACATTTTACCTGTATCAGCGTGCTACTCATGTGTACGGTGAGGCTAAACGTGTGCTGCGTTTTAAAGCTGTCTGTGATGATCAGCCAGCAGACGCCCTGTTACAACTAGGTCAGCTAATGAATGAAAGTCACGCCAGCTGTAGGGACTTGTATGACTGCAGTCATCCTGACTTGGACAAGCTGGTAGAAATTTGCAAGTAAGTTGCTCTACCATTTGTTTAACTTAGATTCCCTGTTTTATAACATTCATTATTATAAGGCAAGTTTGATTAATCTAATATGGGAAATATTTTTGTAAGACTGCATTAAATAATGAAAAATGTGCAAGGATCTTAGAAATCAGTGCAATTTTTAAAATGTTCATAAATTTTAACATTGATTTGTATACACTTAAGTTAAATTATAGCTGTTTTAAAAATAAGATCTGAATGTCTACAACAAAATCATGAGACTTGAAGAAAAATACAGGAAGTAATAAGTTGAATACAAATATTGTCCACAGGAAAAATGGTGCAGTTGGTTCCCGTATGACAGGTGCAGGATGGGGTGGATGTGCTGTTTCCATTGTAAAATCTGGCAACATCTTGCCGTTGCTAACTGGCACTAGAGATGATTATTACAAGCCAACACCTGCCAGAATGGCTAAAGTTACAGAATCTCTGTTTGCTACAACACCAGGAGATGGAGCAGCATTTTATACTTTATAGCCTCATAGAAAAGCTAGTGACTATTTTTTCTTCTCTACTGTTCTGTTAGTTGCATGTATTTCTTTACAGTGCATACCATAAATATGCACTGTTTATACAGAATTTATCAAATACCTTGTATCATAACTTTTTTAAAATAAAATTTAAGATCTACTGATAGTTTTCAAATGCAGTAGTCTTATAAGTTATAACATTTTAATTTTTATGAAATTTGAAATGTAAGTCTATTTTATTATTGGAGCTGATCACCTACAAAAATATGGGTCATATAGAATCAAGAAATGTGTTACTTGTAGATGAAAGAGTGTCCATAAAACTGTATGTGCTGATGGAGGAATTACTGGAAACAAGAGATTTTCAGATCAACGTTTAATGCTTTTTACAGAAATATATTCACACATTTTAGTTTTTGTGCTGATCACCTAGAACTGAAGATTCAAATGTTGTCTAAAACCATTCATAAAACAGCTGTATTCATCATTTGGTAAAGTAACTTCCATTCCATTAATCTTTTTTTTAAATGTATTCAATTTTAGTCATCCGTTTTTTTACATTTAAACTATCCTTAAGAAACAAAGTTCAGTACAGTTAATATAATTTATTCTTGATTATTTAGTTTTTATGTATATTGAGTTTGTCTCTCACTATTAAATGTTTAGTTTTTTTATGTTTATTGAGTCACTCATTAGTGGATGTGTTTTAACCTGTTACTGTCAGTGTCTTATGATATGGTTGAGATTATATTACAGATCACAAGCATTTTGCTGTGCTCATTTTTTTCTTGGCTATTGTGATTTTTTTTGTCTAAGATATAAACAATATTGCTCACTTTATTAAATCTATGGATTGTGATTGTCTAGAGACACAACCATTTGATTGCATTTAATAAACAAATTCCAGGCAACATATATTGAATTTTCTTCAATTATGAATAAAGTATTAGGAAGATTTAGCAAAAAAATGTGTTACAATTATTTATTTCGTCACTAGAATGTCTGTCATTATTAATTTGTTCCACAAAATTTGGTCAACTTCCTGGAGTTTCTGAGAATGATTGAGTTAAACATTTTCATCACTTCCCTCACTTGCTGTGTCAGTTCTTGCTGATTTTTGGTCCAAGAGTGGAATCTCTTTTGGGTCACTTTCCTTAACAAACACAAAAAAAATCTGTGATATGGTAATGATAAATATTTAAATGTTCCTTTCTACTGCTGATTCTCTATGTGATTGTCCTTATTTGTATTTAAAAAATACATATACCATTAACAACTATTCATTCCTTATTCAAGTTGTTACTTTTAAATCCACATCCTTTGAATAAAGTATTTATTTGCCACCAGTTGTTTCCCTTTTACTGTAGTTTATATGGCTAACAACCAACCAAGCTGATGTTAACAATGAAATAAGTTTTAGTTGAATGAGAAACTCACCAAGTAACTTGACATTTCATCTAAAAGTGCTCTCCTTTCCTGCATGGTTTTAGCATTGTTAAAAGCTCTCTTTGCCCTGTTGATTTTTCGATTCAGTGCAAGCTGTTTTTTGTTTAACTCATTTATTTCAGCTTCTGATTGCTCACAAGTCCTGGTAAAAAAAATGTTTTTTTAAGTACATGATTATTTTTAACTATAAAAATTAAAATGTACCTTTTGAAGCAGGTAAGTTAAAGTCTACCTGTCTCTCTAGCTAAGCTCTCAGAGTTGTATTATTAATATTGAAAACAAATTAGCGATGGGAGGGATCAGATAAAAAAATAGATAGAATTGGTAATTCTGTGGTCAGCATTGGACCTAATGCCTGATGCCCATCAGAGCTGGGTTGGTGATATTTAACTTCCAATGTGATCAAGTTAGAATATTAATTGTATTGGTCATCACTTTTCATCATAACATATTTACTTTGCATGTAACTTGTTTAATATGCAAACAATAACAGACAAAAATTTACCATGAAAAAACAGATGAATTAACTATCAGAATGACTATTAATTACACTAATTCATGTGAAAATGTTTGAAATGTGCCTACTTGTTGTATTTTTCCTTTAAAACCACTGCTTTGTTGAGTGTCTCTGCAATAAATTCTTCATAAGTTTGGCCATCTGGAGTAATTTAGTTAAGAAAAATGTAAAATCCTGTTCAATTGTTAAATAGTTTATGCCTTAAGATTGGCATATATTTTGAAAATGTAATCTATGTAACAACTACATCAAATTTAATGCAATATGTATTTAACTGCATGGATAAATTCTTTAATTTTTTTTTTACATTACCCTTTAACCTAACAGCTTCATAAAGTTACAGTATTTTCTTCCTTAATAATAATTTGTTTAATATTATATTTTTAAATCTCCCTGTAATGTTCAAGTTTTTAAAGCAATGGTACTTAATGCTTTTACAATACCAAATTTTTAAAAATGTAACCATGATCTTTTTGAACATTCAATATGTTAAAAATTACTAAAGAAAAACTTGTATAAAACAGTAAAATTGGTTCATGCAAAAATAAAATAGCTACACCGGAAATCTTGTTTTTACTTCACTGTTTTTGAGAAAAGGTTTCTGCTGTAATGTATATGTAGCAGACATTGAAAAATATTTGAAACAAGAATTTTGAAAAATAAAATTAGATCAAGGATATGGAAGTTGTAATATCTCAGTCCTTCTGACTTTCATTCCTGGCTGTTTAAAACTTTTCAACTTCCTCATGTGAAGATAATGAGCAATCAAGGGACTTCTGCCAGAGGTGTTAAACTTGACTCTTTCATACTTAGGGCCAGGGCCAATCTGGTGAGACTGAAATATATGTACATTTATTAAGAGATTTCTCTGCTTATGATAAGACAATGTATGGTAATTGTTTAAAAACTAGGCAAGGTTGCCAGTTAAGCTTTTTAAATTATAATAAACATATCTTATATAGAGGTGATTTAAAAAAATTCTTACATGTCTTTTCAACAGTGACAAATTCTTTACAAAAATCTTATGGGATATTATATGTTTATATCTATATATTACAAAATGAAACCTGCAAATATGCCTTTGGCCTACCCATTACAAAACTTTGAAGCCTTAATATTACCTCTGCTTTTTTAGTCTGAGATCCCTTTGATGGACTTGACATTTTGGTTACTTCCCTTGTGATCTGACCTTGCTGAGGGGCACTGGTTTCTGCTCCAAGTCTGTCAATGACCTTTGTGAAACCATCCATATCTAGACTCAGCTCAACTGAAACACCAGGTCATAGTTTTACAATAGGATGATTCAAATGTGCTCAAGTGATTACCCACCTTATATGACTTTACAAACAGTAATAATAAAATTTGAATCAGTAAACATATTTTTATTAGTTCTGGAAACACATTAATTTTATACAGAAAAATTGAGCCCAAGTCATTTTTTAACCTTTTGTTCTGGTATGGATAAATAAACAGTAAATAATTTTCATAAATATAAAAAGTCAGAGAATTAGTTGTTTTTTTTTTTTTCAATTTAAAATTGAAATGTTTTGGAAACTATTTCCAGTTTTAAAAATTCATTTTCTTTACACAGATTGAAATTAACAAAATTTAAAAATCACAGTACCTTGTCTGTGCAGTCCAGCTGCTTCCAGCATTTTGGCTGTTTCACTAGCTTTAGTAGTTTTAATTTGTTCAAGTCTATCTTCATTCCATGTTTTCCATAAACCAGGTACAGGATGGATTCCTTAACAAGGAAAAATATGTTATTAAAAATACATTGTTTAAAATGTAAGCCAATAGGACAGAATACTGATTATTAAGACTCAGTTTTTTTTTAAAATGAATCACATTTTATTTAAATAAAACAAATCATGCTAAGTAGATAAAAACAATGGCTTAAAAAATTCTTGTAAAACATCTTCTTTGAAACAAAAAATTCTATTGTTGCATAATTAAAATATCTTTAAAAATTTTAAACAAAATGTTCTAAACCATTACATACTAGTAAATACAAAGAGTTTTATCATAAAACTTTAAAAATACAAACTCAACATGTCTAATATTCAATTTTTCAAATTTGTAAAGGAATCTCAAATTAGTCTTTGCCACTTACCAGTAACCATCTCATACACTACATCAACTAGGTACTGTTTGAATTCATTATTGAACTTCCATATAGATTCTGGGAAAGCTTCTCTAAAAGTACAGTATATGCCCTGTGCCAAGCAGTTAGGATATTCCTAACATAATAAGCAAAAAATGTATTACTCCATGCCTATAAAAACTTTTATTTTGGTTTTTGTCATTCAAGTGTCATATACATCTTTGCAACTAAGGAATTTTAACTTAGTTTAAAATGACTTAGGTATCAATTTTTGCACTAATGAAAAAAACCTGGTAAGAAGGAACTTACTGACAGGAATTTATCTTTAACTTCTGCATTAATGCTGGTAAATAAAGCAACAAAACTGTCTGCCATTCTATCAAATAAGCAGTCCTTATCTTCCTTGAACTCTTCCTATTAATAAAGCAAAAAAAAACTGTTCTTTCTAAATGGTGTTTTAAGAAATTTTGTAAACTTCAATACATTAACAAACCTAGCAAAATAACCAACTAACCTCTTTGTTGAAAAAATCAAGAAAAATCCACCAAAATGAGTCTTGTAGAACAGCTGTCGAAGCTTCAGACAAAAACAGTTTCTTCCAAAATTTCTTAAAACCAGACTGTTAAGAGAACAAATAACAATTTTGTGTTACTCCGAATGTTTGATCAACTTAGGCCCATGCCTAAAAAACTTAAATAATACTTGTAATAATATTTTTAAAACTCTGTCTAAATGACTTTAAAGCACTTGCATTAAAATCTTGAGCTTTTGTAACTCTGTGTAAAATTGGGGGTGCTTCTAGTTGTGCTGGAAGCTCTATAAGTTCTCCATCCACAAAGCCAGGAAATCTGTAGTACTCTAAGCTCTTCTTTCTGGTCTCAAGCATTGATTCTACTAAGTCCTAAGAGAATGAATGTATTGACCAATAATTGTAAGCTTGTGGTTTATTTCAACACTTATTTTTAAAAAAGACAATGTATAAGGCAAATGTATTGAAAATGGTATAAAATTCTAACAAGAATTTTCTCTCAGAATACCTACTGTGCTTTTATGTGCTCTGGAATTTTTCCTTGATAAAATGGCTGCAATATCTGCTCCTTCTGTTATGAATGCTGAAATATTACAATGGTGTCAAATTAAACATCGAGAAATAGTAATGGTCCTTTAAAATTTAAATTATCCTCTTTCAGGCCTGACTTTCCATGGGCAGATGAAGTAAAGTTCACCTGTTTCTGTGACTTCTGCATATATATGGTCAGCACTATGCACAGCCACATTTACTTTCAATAACATCATGGCTGGGTAGACTCAGGTATGTCCTACTCAATCAAGCCTGGGTTCTAAACTTTAGACTTTCAAGTTAGCAGCTATGATATGCCCTCTACCCTCCAACCATACCATAGCTTATATTTTATTTATTACTGTAATCAATTAAGCAAAGAGACTGAAATACATTTTAGTATTGAAAATGCATGCTTTAAGTTTGCATGCTTTATTTTGATGACAGTGTTTTAATGTTACCTTTAATTATGCAGGTGGACTGTTCAATATTTACACCATTATCTACATTTTTAAACATATAAATATAAAAATAGAATGCAACTTGAAAAACTAACTTCTAGAAGGAGAGTAAAATAGTTTCTCAGTGAGTAAAGATGTTCTCTTCTCATCTGTGAGAATCTGACTGGCAAAGACGTTCAGCTTGTCCTCAAGATCATCTAATCTGTTCTCCATTTCATCTAGAATATACAACCCAAGGGCTAAATTTGGCTAAGGCAAAGTTATGTTTTAAATGAATATCTTTGAAGTATGTATGACTCCATTTTACCTGGTAAATTACAGAAATAAAATCTTAGGTGCAGGTAACTATGCATTAGATAAAGAGATCATGGGTTAAAAGTATGCAGATGATTTGAAATCAAACAATGTATGATTAAAAATCTCTAATCTTTTTCTATCAAAAGGCTTGCCTAAATCTTTATGCGTCCTCCATATCTCAAAAATAACTACCTTAGGTTATCTTGTAAGTAAAAATATTGTAATAATCGAGAACCAGCAAAACATATATGTGGAAATGAGAATGTACTTTTTGGCTTTAACAGATTATATAAATATCAAATATTGAAAAGCAGCAATTTTTGGTCAAATTAATGTTAAGGATACGAGCTGAAGCTTTTAATATTTCAGTGATTTCCTCTTGTGATCCCATAAACATTCCTTCAGACTGAATATCCAGGGGTCTCTCAAGGCTCATAGGAAAAGGCCAATCATTCTGTAGAAAGGCAATAAGTTACATTTCATTTAGCATGTTCCCAGTATTGGACAATTTTTTGTTGTTGGTCGGAAATTATTCCAAATGACTTGAAAAAAAATTATATTTAAAATATTTTTCAGTGGTAAAGCATTCCTTAACAGTTATGACTTGGACTCAACTGACAGAAAAATGTAATACTAAGATTATAAAGAAGCCTCTAATGCAAACTGTTAGGGTCATTTTGAGGTTAGGTTAGAATAGTCTAGAACTTAGGGGAGAGTGCATGTGTGAGGTGAGTTAACCCCCTGGTGTTTATGTATTGTTATCCCAAGGTCAAATTTGGTTATAAAAGCTAAGTGAATGATTATTACGGGAAAATTTTTCTCAAACTGAAAAAGCAGATTTCCAGAAAAGACGAAAAAGTTACATCTCTGATATGGTACTTACAAGACCCTCTGCTGCCAAAAACTCAGCATAGTTGAATGGTGGCTTTATTTCATCTAGAGAGTCCTCTCTGTTCTTTAGCATATTATCCATTTTAACACAACCACCCTAAGCAATGTTTTCTAGTTCTGATCATGAGATGTTACCTGAACAATTATAAATAGTCTAATAAACTAATAAGTAATATCAACTACATCAAATTGTTCATCTGCCCTTTGAGAATCCAGCTAGTTTGATGCCACTAACTAAAAATCCTCTTTTATCTTACTAAATAAGATGTAGATCTATTTATTAGGCCTAAGTTATATAGTAATATACACTGACTGCTGTATGCATGCCAATTGTTTTTATTTTAACATTTTTTAGTTAGGCCCCTATCTATATCTAGATCTATCAAGTAGGCCTATTAAGTTTAATAAAAAAAAATTGAGTCACTTAGTAGTAGTAGTGCCTAGTCAGTATTATTTACTATTATGATAATTATAATAATAAATTAATAATAACTAGATTACTTGACGTTTGTTATAGTTAGGCTATAGGCTATAGCAAATAGACTAGCTTAGTCGACAGTACTAGATCTAAATCTAGTACTAGGCTATAGTTTAGTCTGTATATTCATATATTCACATTTTTCAGGCATACCTCATAATATGATATTTAAAAATTTAATTAATAAATGTCTAATAAATGAATGATAAAATCATTAAAATTAAAATGAAAAAAAATGAAAGAGAAAAAAACCCAAGTGTCCCCAGTATTAAATCTAGATCTAGAATCTAGTACTAGATCTAGCCCTTTATTTAAAGTTTATTAAAATTATAGTCTATATTTTAAAATTGTAAAGATATCATCTAGTTTACATTTGTGGAGTATGAATTGTAAACATTAGGGTCTAAAAAATTGTTAATCGTTTTAAAAAAAAAAAAAAACAGTTGTCAGGTACGCTAAAACTGTGGCGGTGTCGATGCTAAAACGATTTGTTTTTCTTTGACGGCGTAACTAAACATTTGCTCCTATTAAAACGTTCCACATCTAAATCCATGTATAAAGAATCTTACTTATTTTAGGCGGTACCTAGATATGCTTTGACATGTTCATTATTTTCGCTCGGCACTATTTGGAATATTGTTGATTTAAAAAAAAAGGAATATTGGTTAAATTGCCAGAAAGTAATATGGCTTTACTAGTAGGGCGTCGTTTTTCCGACTCCACCCCTTTCTCTAATCACACATTGTAACAAGTCTAAATCCAGTCACTCCCCGGGTACGATCCTCTAAAGATTATCTCTTCTGCAACTGTTTCTATTTAAGATTTAACTTTACTTGTGATTTTCACTAATATTTGATTGCGATAATTGATTTTAAAATCCCAACATGTTAGGAGTAGATCTACATAATTGTGCTGTCGTTCCTAGTGAGCGGATTGGTGGTCGTCTCTAAAAATTGTACATAATTAAAGTGAACAAGTTATGTAACTGTACTGTTTTTGTGCAATCATAGCACATGCACGACCCCTTTCGGTCCATTAAATATAAATGTATCGTTAAGAGGTCGTCCATAAACTACGTCACATCCCTAGGAATGGGGGAAAGTGGCTTTTTGTGACGAGAGGGAGGGGGAAGAAAGTGCACGTGTATTTTAGATTTTTAAGTCGCAAGGCCTCTTCTGTTTCTATTTACTTCAATAATTGCTCTCTGACTAAAGGGATGCTATTGTATTTTTATTTGGGGTCGTCGATAAGTGATATCACACTCCTGAGAGGCTAGAGGAGGATTTTAGAAAGTGTGATGACACACTTTTGCGATAATGTTGCTTCACTTTGGTAATTTTTTTTGTTTAAATAACAATAAAAATTTAAATAGGCATACTCAACGTTGACCGAGTAAATATTTTTAGAAAAACTTTTTTTTTTAACAACAGTTTCGATAGGAGTGGTAGGCTGAGATGTGACGTCATTTTATGTGTCGGGTCCTGGCTTTTTTGCGTCGATGTGTGAGTGGATGACCCCAGTGTAGGTAAAAATATAAAAGACCGACAAAATATGAGCGCTGTCGTCCTAATTTTACTTTTTATTTGCAGGATACCAGTTTTATGTTTGTTTTATAATGTAAGCACCTCGATGTTTAATTCAACGTGTGGACGTCTACTTGGACTCGACCCCCCCCCCCCTCCCTGTTTACACTATTTACTCGCGTCCACAAAAGTCAAATTTTCGACCCCCCCCCCCCACCTCCAGCCTTGAGGATGTCATACATGTATGACACCTATACAGAATTAAAAGGTGAAGAAAGTAAATCAAAGAAAATTAACTTAGTTATTTACATTTTTTTTCACTACTACTAAATAATACATTTGTTGTCAATTAGCAAAGCTGCGAAACTAATTTTCATGAATGGTTTCCTGCTACCATGACGACAGCATAGCATAAATATTGGTATTATTCTGGCAGGTGCCCTGCTTCCACTTGAAAAATAACTATTAAACACATTATTTATTGAAACGTTTTAGAAGTTTATTATAAAAATGAGCAAAGCAGCTAATGCGCCTGCTAAGCGTGGACGGGGGAAAGATAACGATAGTGATGCTGGCACTGACGATCAAGGAGTAGTTGGAACTTTTGAAACACTTCGCGATGAGGGTGAGCACTTTGTGCACGTTAAACAGTATGAAAAAGCCATTGAGAGCTTTACTAAGGTAATTAAAGTAAATAAATATTATGTTTATGTTCAGCCTAAAATATTTCATGCCAATTTTCATTGCACATTTCTATATGAGGAATAAAAAAAATAATATTAATTCAATTAGTAAATTAGTGAGGCCCTATTACAGTAATAATACGGTAATCTATCGTTTTAGGTACGTAAAATCGCCCGCGACTAGTAATGTAAAAAAAAACAGGTGACTCCTTAAATTTTAATAATTATTTCACGTTTTGAGGAGGATTTATGTCTGAAAAATACAAAAATGTTTCCCTGTTTCATTTAAGTACCTGTTTATGTGTTTTTAAACAATTGAATTAAAACTTTCAGTAATAAATGAAAACTAGGGATGTTTCCAACAGATGCAACATTGCTCATTTACTATAGCAGCCATCTTGTTGAGGTTTTTTTTATAAACTTATAGCGTGAGATTCAGGGGAAGCCACTCTAACTTACAGGTGGCAGCTTTTTATATAGCAAATCCTGCTCGCAAACACCGCTGTTTAAAGTTAATTTCTTGCCTATATTGATATATTTAGCCATTGATTTAGGTTTATCATTCATTTATCTATAATATTTGACACAAATATATCACAATATACATCTATTAAAGCCTTAACAATGAGGTAACTTTTTCGTACATTACTAGCCGCGGGCGATTTTACGTACCTAAAATGATAGATTACCCCTAATACTAATACTACACTACTAATAGTTTTTAATAGTAATTTAATAGGCCTAATAAAATAAATAAATAATAGTTATAAAAACTAGAATAACAGACTACAGGCCTAATTATATTAATTATTAATTAAAACATTATAATTATATTCCTATTTTTTATATTACACTACTAGGTCTAAACAGACCTAGAAGAGATCTACATGATTTCACATGATTGAAGCATATTTTAATCCACACTGACCATCTCATAAAAAATGACACCATACACAAAGTCATCCTTTCTTTCCCCCTGTCAGCTACATGAAAACAGTATTATAAACTTACAAATTATCATTATCAAGTTTCTGATCATCATAAAAATAAAAAATTTAAAACTTAAACTGAATTTTGTTTAGGCTTAGATTATATATCATTAGCTAATATTTTATGGTTCATTTTATTCCAGGCCCTGGAGATGAAAGCTGGGGATAAAACATGTTTAGTTGTTAGATCAAAGTGCTATCTTATGCTGGGCAATGCAGAAAAAGCTTTAGCTGATGCTGAAGCAGCATTAGAACAAGATGAAGATGGCAAAAGAGATATAAGAGTTGGTTGTTTTTTTTTTTAGAAAGTTACTGAGTTTGTTTTATGCTATGCTTATTATTTAAATAATAGTTAACCCTGCTCTATCTTAATGATAACTACTAGACCAACTACTAGGCCACATTCTTCTTTCCCATGTTATACTATCACAAACAATGTCAAATCACATACTCCCCAACCATTCTTGTCAAGATCTGCCTTATGTACTGTTAGCCTGGTCAAATGTGTTGTCAACTCTGATGTATGACAAAATATAGGTAATATATATATATAGTAAGGTACGGAGTGGCCAAGCGTAAGTCTTGAGTTCGAATCCGGGTTCAAGTCAGTAGACCGTCCCTGAGTCGACCCAACTCTGATGGGTACCTAACTCACATTAGGGAAAGTAAAGGCGGCTGGGCATAGTGCTGACCACACTATCTCTTCATATGCCGAGGTCACAGAAACAAGTGAACTCTACTTCACTTGCCCAATAGACCATTAGGTTTGAAAAGGGAACTTTACTTTTACCTATGCTATGAGATAATGCAGTACTTAATTTTGTTACTAGCTAGTAATACCAACATGTATTAGGTATTCTTAACAAAGGAAGTTATGAAATATAAATTGTTGTCACCAGGCTTTGAATATGAAAGCTGAAGCGTTGTATCAAAAAGGAGACTTTGAAAGTGCATTAGTGTTTTATCACAGAGGAAACAAGTTAAGACCAGAACTTCAAGAATTTAGATTAGGCATTCAAAAATGTGAAGAAGCAATAGACAACAGCATAGGAAGTAAGTATAACAATTGCCTTCAGCCAAAGATTCCTTGAACATAAGGGAAAATTTACATGCATTTAAAAACTATTATGTGGCATTCATTAGCAGTAGAGAGAGATGACCATTAGCTTATAATTATGCTTACCATGAAAAATCTGAATAAACAAAAAACAAAACACATTTTTATCCTTTTACAATAGCTCCTAATGCAGTACACTTGGAAGCTACCGGGGATCTTTCATACTTTTACAAACAAAATGAAGTAAGTGTTATAATTAATCTTCTATTGAATATTGTAATGGCATTTAAAAAACTGTATTGAATTATTGATGAAGTTTTATTAATCATTGGATTCTATATATACAACATACAATATACAGTTTTTATAAGATGCATATAATTTATGAATAACCTAATTTTCAATCATTCTGGTTTGTAGTCTTTTCTACTCATTTAAACTAATATCATTCCTTGTAAATATAACAGCATTTTTTATGAGAATTTTAATACACTGTAAAAAAGCAATGTTTTCTCATAAGTGCTTAATGTCTGCTTTGTCTTTATGTACTTTAAAAGTAATTTTAATTGTTGTTTATTAAATTTTATTTTTTTATTTGGTTTCATTAAACGTATTTACTAGTTGATACTTTTATCATAAATGGTTAATTTAGATGTGTTTTTTTTTAAATATCTTTTTCAGAATATTGGGGTTTTTTTCTGTTTAATTGAAAATATATGTTTTCAAAATGTATAACATAGAAATGCATGTAGTCATGTAGTGTAAACACACATTTGATTCTTTAGAGTAGAAGTTTCTCAGATGTTTTTTTTACAAAACAAATGCTGTTTTCAGAATCAAAAAAATAAGGTAATGTAGATAATTGTTTGCAAAAAAAAGAAATTCTGTACCCTCATCTGTCTTAGACTTAACCAGTTAATAAACGTGTTCTGCTGTGACAGGAATGTCAGCTTCTTTGTGTTGCGGCTGAGGATATTGTAGAGTGTGGATTGATTACTTTCATCCTCCTTCCTGCCCCCTATTTTGCTTACTAATATTACAGGCAGGGTCTGGTATACGAAAAGAACACTTCAAACTATTTTTCCACAACTAAATTTCTAATTGTAATTATGATCTACTTTGATTAAAAAAATGTTAGATAAATTTGAATTCAAATCTTTTTTTTTTAAAAAGCATGAAATGAAACCTGAGTATTATCAAACTACCAAATTACTTAATTCCAACTTTTAGCCAAAAATATATTGCTGGGTTTTTTTTTGGTGTTTTTTTTTGTGCAGTTTGAAATGTATTGTTTGAAGACATAATATTTTTTTTATCAGTTTATTACTTCAATTTAAAAATAATGTTTGCATTTAATTTTCCTTGTAACCTCTTATTTGCAAATCATCAAGAAAGTTTCCACCTCTGTACCATTGTGTGTGTTACTAACAAACATATAGGAGCTGGTTTTTTAACATTAATTCCAAATGCACAGGTCCAACATAAATGTGCATTAGTTCATTTTTAGCAAGTAAATAGGTCAACTTGTAGACAATATAGTTACTTTAGCAACAATATTTCTTTAGCAGCTCTATAGTTCTTTAGAATGAAAGTTCTTTTCCATGTGTACAAAGGATATTTACCCATCCCCCCTGTTAGACAGATATTTTTAATCCTCATACTTATAATGCGCTATCAACCCAATATTTTTAGACGCATAATCTTGTTTTCTAAAACTGAGTTATTTAAATGTAAACAATGCCTGCGCTATATTTCTTGGATCATATTTGTCAGGGCACAGGTTTACCTACACTACCCCAGGGGTCTTACTGAATGGGGCAATTCAATTTCACCTGGAGACTTATGTTGGGAGCCAATATGATGGGAGCCGTTTTGTCAGGTGCCATATTGACAGTGACTGTTTTGTCACTGGCTCTTTTGGCAGGATCTATATGATGGTGTTGTTTTGTTAGAGCAGTTGTGACCTAGCATCCAAATCATCTTGAGTTACCCACCAGATAGTTTTTTCCCTTGTGACATTAATAAATGACATGTTTTTCATTAAGTTTGATATTTATTGAGAAGAATTGAGTGATCCCTATAGTTGCTTATACTTAGTTATAAAAATATTTTATAGATTAAAATGTGTAGAACTATTGGACATTCGTATTGCAAAGGTTTCATCTAAATAAAAAACCTAATATATAAGCAACGATCGGTAGACCTATATAGATCTGTATTAATTATAGGATTCTTATTTTCAAAATAAAAAAATAAATTTCGTTTATTTTATACTCATAATTATCATTTCAAAGTAAATAATTTTAATTGAAGTGAGTACTCTTTTCATGTAACTGAAACATTATTACAGTTAATAATTTTTTTACAGCCTGGCTTTATAAATTTAAAAATTGTAATTTTCAAATGTTTCATTATTTCCTACTAAATTTTATAAAATAATTTTATTTCTAATTCATTTATTATTAAAACATCTGTAGTGTTAAAACAGCATTTTAAAATATGTTAAATGTTATATGGCATTATAACCACATGCTTAAATGCAATAATAAAGATTTTTACATTATATGTTATTTTTATTATGACATAAAAAGTTTTATTTCAGGTTGAATTTTTTTTAACATTAATTTAATGAATTGGAATAGGCCTGCATATTTGTATTTTTCCATAGCAAAAGAAACAACAAAAGGGCTACACTAAAGTCAATCAGCCAGCTAAGAAAGAGGAAAAGAAAGAACGTCAACGACCCCAAGAAGGCACCAATTCAAAAACAACAAAAGAATTGTTAGGAGAACTGTATAAAGATAAAGAATACTTAGAAAAACTTTTTGATTGTGAGTAGTTTCTTGGTTTTAAAAATTAGTTGTGTTAATAAATGTCAGTCCTTGATAAAAAAAAATTGCTAAACTTATTGACTTATATTAAAATTTCAATTTGTTTATGGACAATAATTACAGTCTAACTTTTGAATTGAGAAACAACTCCACATAATGACTCCATTGTGAAATGAATGGTTTTTTTTTTATTATTTGATTTTTTTTCTGGCCATTCTACATGTGGTAAAACAAAAATGAATATTATATTTTATTCTGCTGAAACTTAATTTTATAAAATGTAATGGACTAAATAATTTCAGGTTTTAATTTTATTGTTAGGTTTATCAAACAATGGAAACCAAACAGACGATTACATCAAAGGCAGGGCTTGTGATGGATTAGAATACTTAAATAGTAGATCAGATTTTTGGAGACAACAGAAACCAATGTATGCTAGAAAACGGGAAAAGCAGTCACGGTCCGCTAAAGGATCTGCTGGTCCAAGGGGTACTGATCCAATGAAGTATGTCCTTCAGAAGCTAGAGGAAATAGATGAAGGTTGGTAGTTTTCTGCTTCTAATGCTTTTAGTTATTTCTCAAGAAATGAAAATAGTGAATGTGTTAGTATCTTTTTATGCAGGCAAAAATTATATAATTTTAAAATTAAAAACCAATTTGCCAGAACATAAATAAATAACAGTTAGACATTAAAACATTCTTTTAAAAGAAGAAAACATAGTAACTTTACTAGAGATTTTTAAAATAATTCTTTAAGCACCTTAAAAAAATAATCAGTTTTTATGTCTTAAGCAAACAAAATTTTATTTTAAACCTTTTAATCCATATTTGACAATACTTTTAGAAAACAGCATTATTGTTAAATTTTATCGATTTGCATTGCTTATGAGAGTGAAAATTTAATCTAATTTCAAAATACATTTTTCCAGCTCAATCTGAAGGTAGATACCAAGATAGTTTAGATAAATGTAAACACACACTGAAGAGGGTTGAAGCTATGCCAGAAGGTTCTCTTAAGAATAAACCAGATGTTATTGCAAACTTGTACAGCTCAATGGGAAATGCATATTTAGAAATGGGGAAATATTCACAAGCCCTCGATTATCACAACAAAGACCTAAACATTGCAAAAGACAAGTAAATATTTCAATTTTTCTTGTTGTTTTCTTTCATATTTTTAAGTTGAGGAATAGTTGTTTGATTAGTATTGTATTTTATAAATTATAAAATTTTCTATTAGTCATTGAATTTAATGTAATTTAATTTATTGTATAAAATTGTATGTTAATAACATTACCATAGTATTATAATCCTAATGCTACCTTCTAACTCCCTTGTTTAAGATAAATAAATAATTGAATAAATAGTTTAAAGTTGTTATGAAAATAGAAATCAAACTTTAATATATTTTTGATTGACAGTCAGCTGGAAGAGGCTGAATCTAGAGCTCTTGACAATTTGGGTAGAACAAATGCCAAAATGGGAGAATTTGCAGAAGCTATTGAGATGTAAGGTCATATTTAAGTAACCAATTTAATTAAATAAATCTTTGTGTTCATATTGAAACCATAATTATTTAATGCAACTTTAAAAACACATTGGTTTTATTTTTATCTTATTAGATGGAAACAAAAAGTACCAAAAAGCAAATCTTCATTGGAAAGAACATGGTTATATCATGAGATTGGTCGCTGTCATTTAGAGCTAGGGGAGTACAATGAGGCCAAGGATTATGGAGAAAAATCTATAGATGCTGCAAAAGATGCTGATGATGCAGGATGGCAGCTTCATGCACGAGTGCTAGTTGCACAGTCCGAAGGTAGAATCTCTATATACTTGTCTGTACTACAATACCAAAATATATCATAGTCATAATTAGATCATAACTAAGCTTAAAGAATAGCCCAAACTAGATTATAAGAACTTTTAAATATAAATCCAAATTAGATTATAAAAATCTTTAAATTATAAAGTCAAACTAGACTTTAAGAATTCTTAAGCATTAGTCCAAATCAGGGCATAAGATGGCTTTATATTTCACTACATATTTTATGTGTGTTTTGCAAATTTTAAAAAATTCATGTTTAACATTTTGTTTTAATTATGATGGTTTTGTTAAAAATGTATTGAGTATTAGTAGTTGTCATTAATAAAATTTTCACCAGACATATTCTGCAGAAACGTAAACAAGGTATGGCCTAAGCATGTTGGTTTTGAAGCCAGATGCTCTGGGCCAACATATATAAACATGAGGTCAAATTTTCATAAAAAATTATAAATCAGACAAATAAAAAATATTTCATTTTGAATATTTCAGTGAAATGTGAGAACTATGAAGCAGCATCAGACTCATTTACTTTGGCTCTTGAACTAGCAGAAAATCAAAATGATAAAGCTATCAAAAAAGCTTTAGAAGAGGTAAATTTTAGTAGAAAATTAAATGGAAAAAATAGTCTTTACTTCATCAATGTTTATTGAAACAATCTGTTTGCAGCTTTGAAACTTCAATTGTAAATATTTCCCAAATGTTTTTTTCATCACTTTGTTTTTAGGTCAATGCTAAAATTGTAAAAAATAACAAAGAAGGTGAAGAAGATGAGCATGCAGATAATGGTAGGAGTTCACATAATGAACACAGAGATTCAGATAATGAGAAGAAAGATTCTGACAAAGAAGGCAAAAGATCTCCAGCTAGAAGTCCTAGTCCCAAAGGTAAAAAAATTTTATCATTAAAATCAGGATAAACAGAAACCTTGATTTCCTTTTCATATGAATGCAATATCATATCATAGTGGTATTGCAAATTAAAATGTAAAAAAAAATCAGGAAATAGAAAAGAATCAATACGACATAACTCATCTTTACTTACAGGTAAAGACAAAAAAAATAAAGATTCAAAAGGTAAGGAAATATTCAGTTTGATCTAATTGAAACTTAAACCTAATCTCTGTTATTATAATAATTATTTTTACTTCTTCACATGATGTACACATAAAGACAAAAAAATCTAAAAATTTTTTGTTAACAATTGTATGCTAATGTAAATATTATAAGGAGTAGAAATTTGAATTTATTTTAATAGCATGATATGTATGTTTTGATTTGTATTTTATATCCTAAAGGAAAAAATAAAAAATGAGGTAAAAATGATTAGAAAATATTTAAATTGTGAGTTGATTTTTTATTTACTGCCAATATTAGAAAATTTTTCATTTTTTATATATATATACTAGAGCTACATCCTGCCGATATACATTTTCATAGTATAATAGAAGATAGATTAGATTTATGTTTTAGAATTACTTCCTTATTTTATATAATCAGTAGGTTTAATTTTTTACATAACCTAACAAAAACAGGTTCTACAGCTCTTTACTGCTTACTTATAACTTTAAATTTTTAAATAATTTATAATTAGTAGTTTAGAAAAAGGCTTGAACGCATTTTCTCCTTTAAAATATGTTGTATTATACATAGACATGCAAATGCATACGTTAATATTTATATCAGTATGAGTTTATGTAATATGTATACATACAATGGTGGCTCATGACAAGGTTAGGGCCAAGATTAAATGACTTGTCTATGTAGAACATAATGATATTAACATATTTCATTTACACTACACTCTACTTCTGTTAGTTAATGGACAAATGTAATTGAAAGTTTGACACCCCCCCCAAACACACACACTCCCATTACTTACAATAAACCATTAAAAACTCAAAGCTAAAAAGTTGTACAATTTTTACATTAGAAATGAAGGTTACATAATAATTTACATTTTGTCCTAGACTTAGCTAAATAATCCATTTTAGAAGTTATCTACCCCCAATGCTTGAAAACAATTACACCAATGACCCCCATAGCTAAACCTGAATGTTTATCAGGGGCGTAGCGAGGGGGGGGGGGGGGGCGGGGGGTGCGGACCGCACCGGGTGACACCATTTAGGGGGGTGACACCACGGCAAAAAATAGCAAAATATATAGAGAAAAACTCGAGGGGTGGGGTGCAAATCGAAAGTTTGAGGGGGGGGGTGCAAATCGAAAACTTGAGGGGGGGGGTGCAAATCGAAAGTTTGAGGGGGGGTGCAAATCGAAAACTTGAGGGGGGGGGGGTGCAAATCGAAAATTTGAAAGTTTGTCCCTGGGAAGGGTCTCTATGCCTCTGGGGGGGTGACACCATTAAGTGCCGCACCTCGCTACGCCACTGATGTTTATATATATATATATATATATATATAAGCATACAGTTCAATAAAACATGTAGATTATTTGTTTTAGTACCTTCCATATAATAATGATTTGTAGCATATTTGCTTACCGTAATTATTTGCTTTTTTTTTTTTCATAAAATACTATTAAAATTAAAATGGGAATTTTGCATGATAGATGTTTCAATAAACAAATTAATATTGAAGTTCACAAAGTCTTTTTGGAAAAATAATTTTTGTGGCTGAATTCTGGATTGTGTAGTTTTTAAATATATATGAAGGTTATACCATCTTCCTGTCTTAATTGCACAAAAACTCATAAATGTACCACTAATTAGTGCAATGAGAACAAGTAGACATTTAAGAAAAATCATTATTTTATTTTTGTTTTTAAATAATTTTTTTCCAGAAGAAAATAAAACAGATGAAATAGACAGCAGCAACAATGAAAGTCATGTCTAATGGATCCTTCTGGATTGCTACAAAAATTAAGGAAATGAATTTTCTTTAAGTTTTTCCCTGATAATTTAAAACAACAAAACTTAAAATGGTATCAAGTGTACTGCTAATTTATGTAGAAAGATTACAAAATTGTTTTAACTTTATTGCAGTGCTGAGCCCATCAGTATTATTAAATCTGGTGTACAGTTTCATTACAAACATATTTTGTTGACTCTTATCAAAGACTTATTATTAAAACCCGTATTTTTATTATGTTAAGCTTTTTTTCAAATAGTTTATATGGTTAAGGGGTTTTAACTAAACTTTGAATAATTCTATATAAGGTGTTCCAACTTTGATAATAAAATGTTTTTACTTTATTAACTTTTTTTGTAACAACTTTTTTATCATTCCAAACTTGTGTAGACTTAGAAATCTATTCTGGAAAAAAATGTTTGATAAATTATAAAGATACCTATATTTAGAAATAGGTATTACTTTGCAAATGTGTTTTTACCCAATACATTTTTCATGAAGCAAAATTATCAGCATGCACATATATACATAAAATATGTGATTTAGTTAGACATTAAACAAATTAAATACATCCAAATAAGAATTTTGAGGGGACTAATGTCATAAAACAAATGTTAATTAAAGTACTTTCTATTTTCATAAATGATTCTATTGTTAATTTATTTTACTATTTTTTGTGTGACAACTTGTGATAACAATATATTTAAAAGAGAGAATGGTATGTATTATCTACCATTGTTACCAAAGAAGAAAAAGACAGTTTTGTCAAACTGAACTCTGCTTATTGAAGGCATTTAACTATGTAACATTATACTTTTGAGAAACTTGGTGGCAAATATAACAGTGTAACAGAAATAACTCGAATTTATAATAAAGCATTAACATTGATGAATCAAAAGGGCCTTTGACAAAAGAACCACATCAATACTATTTATAGGGTTCTGCTCCACCCACTAGAGGTCCCACAATGTAACAGCAGGTGTAACTATTAGTTGGACTTCTGACAAAGGCTCCCCTCATTAAGGCCTGCTGCATATTATAGATCAATGATGATATCCACTAAGCTGATGTTAATTAAGCTCTGGCTATAGAGTATATACCACTGAATAGTTGATTTTGGTTTGGACTACTTAATTTTTTATTTAATTCGAACATCATACCCTGGACTAATAGTAATACTATAAACATTTCAAACTTGCTTCCAATTACATAATAATATTTTTTCCATATATCATAATGTATGATATAGAATAAATGTGGAATAAAATAAAATGTGGGAGCAATAAGGACAGGGGAGCAGATGAGTACAAGTGCCATCAACGCCCTTCTAATAAAGACAGATTCCCAGTAGAGAGATGTAGCTACAGCTCAATAACTTATATAGACATAAACACAAACTACTGACATTAGACACTCAGAAAATTAATAAGTGTGTTTAAAATATTGTTTCTACAAAAGATTTTATTAAAAAAAAAATTAAGTTTAAGATAAGTATTTTCACAGTTTTACAATAAGATTGACAATGTTTGAGATCAGAGTTTTAAAATTTTCATATTATTTATAGAAATTTAAAATAGAAAGTAAAGAAAAAAAACAACTAGATATGTATATTATCAATACACTATAAAATCAATTATAAAATTCATGTGAGCAGCATGTATTTTAAAATTTTATTATAACACCAGAAACAATCTTAAAATGACAATAAAACATACATTTTAAATTGATATCAATAGGCATACACAACTTAAGAAAATCATATTTGGTTATATAGCCTACTATATAATTTTAGCAGGTAATTCTATTACATTTTTTTAATTGTAAATTATTGACACATAATTTGTAGATGTTTTATGCTGATCATTTATCTGTTTGCCACAAAATGAACCAATTAGCCAGTTTTGTATATTCCATCACAAATACATTTAAAACTTATTTTAACTGTAGTATGAATTTCTAATTCATAAAAAAAAACATCCATGAAAATTTGTTTAACGTAATAATTAATTTAACAACAATTTATCCTTGCTGGTTTTAAAGAAAATGTTGGAGGAGCTTGTCACCAACGGCTCCGTATGGCTTGGCTCCTATTGACCAGCAAAATCAAACAACTGATGCCAACACTGCATTACATGTTTGCGAGAGGGATGGGCGCCACCATGTGACACTTAGACTTAGACACACCACACAAATCTGTGGTGCCCCAACAACTCCCAAGGATTAAGGGATTTATTTATTTATTAATTATATATATATATATATATATATATATTTGTGTGTGTGTGTAAACTAAATGTAATTAGTTTGTTATAGTATCAACCTCACAATAATGTTCTGTACTGTAGCATTCTTTGTACTTACCAAAGTTAATCATTTATTCTTTCGTTTTTTCATAATATTTTTTAAAATAGATATTTTGCATAATAGACATTTCAATAAGTACTCTTATTTTTTTGTTTAAAAAAGTTCTTTGAAAAAATTTTGGTACTTAATTCAAGATTGGATAATTTTTAATAATAATGGAAGTTGCATTATTACACTATATATTTTTAAAAAAAACTATATATATATATATATATATATATATATATATATATATATATATATATATATATATATATATATATATATATATATATATATATATATATATAAACTAATAAGTACAACTGATATTTAAAAAATTCTTACCCAAATGATAACAAAACAGAATATCAGCTGCAACAATGAAAGTCAAGCATAATGGATCATTCTGGATTTCTAAAAAAAAAAGGGAAGAAAATCCTTTTCTGCCTATTCTGAAAACTAACTAGACATATTATCACAGCTAAAATGATATTGTGGTATAAGACTTATAAGACTTATTACTTATGACTGATATATTGCTAATATGTTTAACATTTATTGTGGTGCTAAGCCCATCTGTATTATTATTTCTGACGGTTATACTAAGCAGCAGGTAAAGAAAACTTTGAGAATTTGATTTAACTCAATACAATTTTCAACAAGTTAAATTATTAGTTTTTACAATATATACAATACATATATAATACAAAGATACTTTAATCAATTACTTAATTATGCCCTATTAAGGCCCTTGAGATGGTGAATGTCAAAGATACAAGTTGTTGATTAAACCAATTAAATTTTACATAAATGATTCTTAAGTTGTTGTTATATTTATGTTGTTTAACAAATTTTATTAAGAATAATTTTTTTTTTAAATAAAAAATTCAAATAGGCCTAATAATGTACAATATTTATTTGTGTTAACAGTATCAAAAGAGATAAAAAAAAACCATTTTTTTTAACTGTGGTGATTAGAAGTATGAAATAAGTATGTAAGATTATATTTAGTCAAACACTACATTACTTATGTAGCAAATCTTACAGTTTGATTGCGTCTTTGTGGAATAACTTGAAAATTATAATAAAGAAACTTCGGTGTAAAGCTCTCCATTATAGTCCTTTGATCATCTTCATCATCGCGAAGATGGAAGTGGCACATAGGAGATTTAGAAAAACTTGACGGCACTGAAATAATTGAAAAATATTTTTTTTTTAAACATTCTACTGTTGTTTTTTTTTTGCCAGATTAAAAGATCAAATTTATAACAGGAGAAATTTTATGGACCGCCTGCAGATCTGGAGACCACAATCCAGTTCATCTACAAAGTTAGACTTGTTTAAATCCTCTGACATTAATACAATGAAGAAGAAGAATAGCAAACAACACAAACTTTTATGACGATAATATTTGATTAATTGAATAAGTAATTTTTTTTAAATGTATATAGTTTTAGAAATAGTGCACCTGCCTAAAGCTGGTATGTGATTGTTGTCTGGGAAGACTGGGGCCGCACCTTTTAACGCAGAGCGCTGCACATTCCTTGGAGTTGGAGGAGTCATTTGGTGCATGATTATAAAGTTGTCAATAGTAGAATTTAATGGAACAGTGCCTATAATTATTTCAACAGGTACGGCAAGTTCAAAAGCTGGTCCCACAGGAAAAACCCTAAGCTGTATAACAAAGGAAGACTTTTTTTTATTCAAATAGGGCTACTAATAATAGATCATAACAACTGGTAATTTAAAAAATATAATGAAGAATATAATACTCTAAAAGAAAATTTTTCAACCAAAAGTTTTACATTATTCTTTTTAAAAAAATTTAAAAAGTTTAAGAGTGTTTTTTTAATTATAATAATTCATCAGCATTTATAAGAAGTTTATTTCATAATTAGTTTGCATGCATGATCAAGCATGACAATCACAATAAAATAACCTACCTCCAAGGTATATTTGACATCCATAATGCTGCAGCCAATCATGAAGGACGGGGGTAAAGGAGGAATCACAAACTGCTCCTCTTCCCAGCAGTCAGTTTTCCCAGGGGACAGAGCACCATGGTGAAGGGAGGCAACTTGTTCTGTGACTGAGCGGGATTTGTTTTGGGCATAGAACGTGGTGGTCTGGGGATTAAAGCAACCAATGTACTTTTGTACCAAGTTCTAGCTACTGCTCTTCTTCCACTCTTTCCCTAAATACAGTGACGTATCATGCAATTTTAGCCAAATCACAAAACAAACACACAAATGTCATTATTAACTTGCATTTTCAAAACAATCCAGCCTCCCCCCCCCCCTCTTTAAAATGAACATGCTTTACCTCATTTAGAAAATGATAAAGATGAATATATTGCTATCCTTACTATCAGCAGTTCCACTAAACACAAACATACACAAAAATGCCCCTATCAACTCACATTTTCAACCCCACCCCTCTTAAAATGAACACCATTTAGAAAATGCTAAAGATCAACATTGCTATCCTCACCATCAGCAGCTCCACGGACGTACTGCCTATTTTCCTCCTGGAGCGGTTCTTGACGTCGGCACTGATGTAGACTTTTTCCCCAGCTACAAACCCTCTATGGCTCAAGCTCAGGTCGGCGGTGATTGGTCCAGATGTACAGCAGAGACAACAGAGGCGTTTCTCTTTTTTGTTGTGGGTTGGTTGCTATGGAGATAAGACAATATGACACTTGTAACTGACACTGGATTTAGGTTTGTTTGGTACTTTTATTGTTACTTAGACCTAGATATCATATAAACTAAGTGCTTGTGAAGAATCAAATGCATCCACTGACCTAACACCATCTCAAATCATAAACTACTAGGAGAGATGGAAATGGAAGGAGTTTTCGAAATAATCGAAAAAAAGAAGATGTCGCTGGATGAGGCATGTCCTAGCAATGAATCCAGATGACAGCACAGGAATGGCGTTAAACTGGACGCCTCAAAGAAAAAGAAAGCAAGGAAGGCCAAGGGAGACGTGGAGGCGCACGGCGAGGAAGCAGCTTGCAGAGGCAGGACTGTCATGGGGGACTGCCAGGAAAATTGCCGGAGACCGACAAAAGTGGATGGACGTTTCTGTGGCGGCTCCATGTGTCTTGGGCACAAAAAGGAGAAGATGATGATTGTCCTTAAGAGAACTTTTATAGACGGCTCCAGAACTTATGTGTGATAATGTGTGCTAAGTATTGAAGGAGTGTGGCGAAATGTGATTGGGGGGGGGGGGGGGGGTAGCAGGGGATTTTTTTTTAAATATGTAAAATTGCGGGATAAAATGGATGTTCGTCAGTTTTACCTCTTTTTATTTCATTTGGGTGGTAAGAGCTTTGTGGCGTCTTTTTAATTGGTGAGTGAGGGCAGATGTTATATTCTTACAATTGTTTACTCTTATTATTGTTTTAAAAAATCTTATTTTTAAGTTATAGTGAGCTTAGTATGACCTACACTAGCCGGCGGCTCCCTGTTTAGATCCACTGGACAAACGACGCTGAACAGTTTTTTCACCGAGACGTCTTCTTTCCAGTGACGTTCAACAGTGACCTTGACCCAGTAGCGCACGAAGCCGTACTTCCCTTCAAACGATGACGGGGCCGATTGAGGGATGACGAACGTAAACGGATATGTGTACTGTCCAGCATCTAAAATTCGCTTTTCCTCCGGCTGACCCGTTTCAGTGGCTAGGATAAAGTAGTTAATACAGACTTTATTTGTATTAGTATTTAATGCAACACAACAATACAACCGTTGATGATGATAATGTCCGTAATGAGGTCACGCTGATGCATCGCAACACACAATCTTACACAGTTGTTGTGTTTACTACAATTAGATATATTTCTGCTGCAACATAGAACTAACAAAAGAAGGGTTGATAAATTGAGAATAAAAATAGGCCCTGTAGTCTGATAGTTTCATATTCTACCTAGAGATCTTTCAACTTTACCGCGTAAAACACAATCATAAATGTGTCTAATTAATACAAGATAAAAATAATTAGTATAAGATACAAATTGATATCACACATTCTTTAATAGTTTATTACAGATATCGGCGACTGATATAATGGTCAGTTCATGAGTAGGGGACATAATCACCATTTGACAAGATATTAAGTTAAATGTAACTTTCCCAAACTTTGATTGTTTAAAGTGATGAAACGTCGTTTTCTTTAAGATTAGTTAGCTTTCCTAACCCAAACCCCCGACGATTGAATTCAGGTACGCAGACTTGACTTGTAGACTTAAACCAAGCATTACCCGGATTTTAATTCGATCTCTCGGGACTGTGATCAAGTTGTTTCGCTTTTCGACCAAACCATCTTAAATTTGTTTTCTTAATTAAGGGGATATTATCACATAGACAAAGGGAAAGAAACAAAAACAATGCAAAACCAAAACCAAAACAAACAACAAAAAAACAACCATTAGACACGTAGGTCTCAAATTTGTACCAGACCCTTACCTTTAGTTAACAGAGGTTGGGATACGTCAAAGTAGTCCTCTGTGGCCGAGTGATGACGTGTCTCTTTGTGTCGGCTCTCGCCCGGTCCCCTCATCGTCTGCTCCGTCCAGTGGACAAAAGCTTTGCCGCGAATAAACAGACGTATTCCTGGAGAAGATTGCTAGATACTTAAAACAGACGTATTGCTGCATAAGATTGTTAGATACTTAAAACATTTTCCACACGCAAATGAAAGATATAAACAAACGTATTCCTAGAGAAGTCTGTTAGATACTAGAAACATTTTCCACGCGCAAATGAAAGATATAAACAGACGTATTCGTATTCCTGGAGAAAATCGTTATATATATATTGAACGTTTTCCACATGCAAATGAAAGATGTAGATCTATATAAATAAGAAGGAGGAAGTGGCGCTGAGGACACACACACACACACACACACACACACACACACACACACACACACACACACACACACACACACACACACACACACTACGAAAGTCTCACTGACTGTGACACACCATACGCTGGAGTGGAACCCCCAGAAAAGGCGAAAGACTTGGAGGCAGACTCTTTTCGAAGAACTGAAGACAGCAGGGATATCTTGAGACGTTGCAAAATTAACAGCCGGGGACCGGACGAAGAGATGCCTGGAAGAAACTCTGAATGGAAGGTCATGGTTGAGGCACTATGCTCCACAAGGTGTAAATAGGATTAAGTCAAGTAAGTCAAATGCAAGATATAAATAAACATATTCCCGGAGAAGATCGTTAGATATTTAAATCTTTTTCCACATACTAATGAGAGACATAAAAAGTCATTAACTAAAAAGAAAATGCTGGTGTTGATTTAAATGCAAAGTCTTTGACACGAAAGTTATGTCATATTTTGTTTTCTAAGCAAACAATCATTTCTATATGCCCGCTCATGTTGGTTATCTGTTTTGACATTTATCGTGTATCTCAACAATCTTCGTATGACGCGTAGATAAAATGTTTAACATTTGTCTAAGGTAAAGGCCCAAAGGCCCTTTATATAAAATTACCAGCATTTAGTTTTAGCACGTTTTTTTTAAAAATCTTTAATTTATTAATATATTTTACTAAGCAGGTCTAGTTTAAATGGTCAATATGACACAACTGTCTAAAATTACATATTGTACGAGCCATTCTAGCACAAGTCGAGTGCCAGATACAGGAAAACTAGCCCAGGCCAAATTCTGTAAGCTGAAACCACATCTTCCTTCTCATCACTCAACGCTGCTTTGAAGCTAAAGAATAAACCGCGAGCCGATCGTCTGCCCAACTGTAGTAGATCACATGTCAAACGTTTCCTGGCAATAAACATCCCGCCCGATGACTCTTGCAGGTGAACGTTAACCAGATTTCAGACGCTAGAAGAAGCCAAATGTACGCCTTAGTTTTAAGTCAGCGTTTCCGTAACTTTTACAACGATAGGGAACAGAAAGAAAAAACAGCCCTGGTTATTTGAAGAACAGATAGATGTGTGCACACATAACATTTCAAATTATAAGCCGTATAATGGGGGATGGGAAGGCGGGACGGTAGAGAGAGAGGGTCAACCCCCCCCCCCCCCATCCCACCCACCCCCCGTGTACCCGAAAAATAAAAGTTGTTTAAAACAAGTTACAGTATTGGCGATGGCACGTTTATTGTTCAAAACTTCCAAATTTTGGATGTCACAAAAACAACGATTTTACTTTCTAAAAACGGTATGTAGGGCTATATATAGAAATGGTTCTAGTTATAAATCAACCAAAGGACTGGCATATATATTTTCAGGTATTGCACATTGGAACCTTCTAAACAACAAGCAAAACAGCTCCTTCTTAATTAAGTTAATTGATTTTTAAAGAGCTTAAAAACTCTCTCTTGACAACAATTTCAATGTAACCAACAAATGTTGCACGAAAAACTTGTAAGAGTACGGAAGGTAGTGGGGGAAGGGGGGGGGGGGGGGGCATCGCTACTGTACCTCGTGTGTTTTCGTGATCAAGTTCCGTCGCTGTTCTTTTTATGTCAAACAAATCGACACTTGAGTAGAGTACCGTGTACAGTGTTTTTGTTTATTCTTTACCATCAAACGAAGAAAACAGACTGAGGAGTAGTTTGTTGCTGTTGTGTTTGTTTGTTTTTCAAAGAAATTTTTAGGTAGCGTCAAAAAACGTTACCTAAAAATTTCTTGACGCTTCCTTTTTTTTAGAAAAATTTCTTTAACGTACAATTTGCTATCGAGAAACAGCAACAGAGAGAAAGACTGTTCTATATTTAGAGTGTACGTTTCGTTAGCGAATATTACCTTTTGTTGTTTGAGCTAATTAAGCGGGCATTGACAGAGAACAGGTGCTCGACGATCAGGTAGTGAAATGGACATCTGTTCTGTACTTGTGATAAAGGTGCAGAAGGTGGGATTTGTTGCAGCTAGGTCTTAGCGGTACATTGGAATTGTGAGGAACAATAGTTACGGAGAGCGTACACTCGATTTGTTCCAGATTTAGTGTCAGTCAGTGGTACACTGGATTTGTTGATGCTTTAATGTCAACTAGTTGTATGCTGGATTTGTTGCAAAACAATAGTCTCTACTCTCCGGCTGTCTTCAAGCTTGTTGCAGATGTATGCAAGAAATAAATTGGTTTTTGCTACAAGTACAATACGCCTAGTATCAATCAGAGTTTCTTCCAGGCATCTCTTCGGGGGGGGGGGGGGACACCACCCCTCCCCCACCCCTTCGAAAAATTTTTACTGCCCCCCCCCCCCGAACGAATTGAAATTTATATTATTTTAGAAAATATTATAGAAAATATATACTTTTAACAGTGTCCGCCCCCCGAAGAAAGTCTACCGCCCCCCCCCCCGAAAATTTCAAGTGCCCCCCCCCCCCCCCCCCCGGAGAAAAAAGTCTGGAAGAAACACTGGTATCAATACGTAGTATACTACTACTAAATTGGCTGAACATATGTAAGTTGTACACTGCATCGTATTTGTTGCTATCAGATCAACATGTTGTTTTACACTTTAGTGCAATAAACTTCTAACCGTAGTATAATGTAAATACGTTTAGACGATGTAAAGCGGCTGCATGCATGTGTTACATATGTACTTCTGTATAATCAATATGTTACGTCCAAAAGTTTAAAAAAAAGAATACATTGCTATTTAGCATTCATCAATTTTAATTTTTACTGAGTTTTTTTTCGACTTGTTTTTTTTCCGTTTGACAAAGTGTGGTTTTGTTTTTCGTTGACACAAGTGTTTTTTCTGTATTTAAAACAATGTATTTTATTATGAATAATTATGAATAATTCAACCACGTTTATTTTCTCAT